CTTAAGATCCTTTGAACATCTTTTGAGGCATTTTCTATCGCTTTTTAGACTCCTTCAACTGACTTATCACAGTTTAATCTCAATTTTGCCTTCAGAAAATGCTTTAAAAAATTGTGAGGTTATGAATTCGGCTTAAGAAATCCTTCTTTAACTAACTTAGATCTTTTCAAACTGGATAATGAGGTAGAATTTGCTAATTTTAAGCAAAAACCGCGGAAAAAAACTAAGCAGAAAGACAATTTTCTAGACAAAATAAGATTTTTTGAGGTTATGTTTGACTTTTATGCTTTTTCTCAGTCAATATGATGTTTTTTCGATCAAAAATGCTCAAATCTGCCAAGGAAAAGAGAAATATTCACAATTTAAACCAATTTTTATGATTTTCAAGGTTATTTAAGTACCAGAATCTGTCTTAAGTTAATCACATAACCTAGAAGAACAATAAAATTGATTTTCTTAAACAAAAATTCATGAAGAAATGCCTCAATTTGCTGAAAGAGAAGCTTTCTGCAATGCAAATATTCTAAATATTTTAACAATTCCGCTAAATCTGTACACCACTTCCGATTATAATGACTCTCCCTTGACGAGGAGCTCATCAAGAGAGCTCTAAAGCTGATTCCAATCAAGTTCTGCAGTGCTCTGGGTCTTTAATGCAAGGAAATGCTGACTTTCGCACATCCGATTGTAATCCTCGAGAGAAATGTCTTCTCGAGGGTTTGAAAGATATTGAAATTTCTCAAAACTCCATCTATTTTTGTACTAAATACTCAATACTTAAGACATTTAGAGTGTAATATTGTGCCTAATAAGCCTGCAAAAGACTTTTAGCTGAAGGTAATAATTAAATTGTATTATAATTTCATGCAACTTTGAATCCTAAATCGTCCGTGCAGAAGCTTATCTTCAGGCAAATCATTTCAGGAGCTTAAGAGGGAAGCTGTGAGGAAGATGAACTCGACTGGGTTGCGATAGGGTTGCTCTATCGCACAGCATCTCACAACACAATTTCCTCACACCCTTTCGAAGTGGGTCGTCGAAGGAAGTCATCTTCTGGCCAAAGCAACTTCCCCAATTTGGTCGATTTCGGATGTTTCCTGCTGTGCCACGATATAAGCAATGTGAACTGGTGCGATAACGTGGACACAGAAAATCATTTAGGGGGGCAAATTTAGAGGTATTGTCGCCACACTCACTTCCGATGGCATCAATTTTGCAGATTCAGTGATTCTTTTCTTCCTTCCCGCCCCGGCAAAAGGCATGAAATGATGCTCCACATTTGCCTCTCGGTTGTTCTCACAATTTCATGCTGTAGTGAATTCTAAAGTGATGAAGTAACTCCGACATGGTTAGATAAGGCATTCTTACGCAAGACTATAGAAATTGTCTTTAAGCTTGATTGTTTTATGCATAGAAGAATTTAGTCACTTGGAACAATGAGTGGCACTTTTGACGCATTCGCGTCTCTGTTTGTCCACACCAAAAGCGCGCGCGCTGCAGAGATAATGAAAGGAAGGTGTTTCCAACCGCAATTCATAGTGTTGAAGAGTCACTCTACCAGATCACACAGAGTCCTTCCTGAAGAGAGGAACACACAGTGTGACCCTGTCTTGGAGTTGATCTGAAATTCCAATGAGTGAATAATTTGCCAAGGGAAAATTGCAATTGACCATCAAACACACACACACACACGAAAAACCACGTGAATAATTCAGGAAGGGAGAAGACAATAGTGAAACTCCACGTAAAGACAAACGTGTTCTCTTCCCAACACCCACTGAACTTGCAGCGAAATTCCTAAGTTCAAAATCACCAAATGCGGAGAGTGTTTGAAAAGACATACACAAAAGCGGAGCGGTGAAAGCCAAAGTTTTCCCTTTGAAAGTCTCAAGGAGAAAATGCCTCGAGACTCTCAAGGGGGAGATAATACCATTAAAATCTGTACACCTTTTCCTGGCAGAATCACAAACACTTCCAGAACTTCAGCAGTGATTAAAACATGCATTTTCCTTCTATTTCTTCACCTTCTTCTGAACTTTATAGATTTTTTAACAGCCTTAATTATCATAACCTCAAATTTAGGAGTCTTTGTTCCAAAATAGACGCAATATTTGGCTTTTTAATCCTGAAAACTTACAGAGAAACATTATTTCTGAAATATTTGAAGGTTTTAGTGGATATTTTGAAGGGATTCAATTTCCAGTCACTCTTTTGGATGCACTTTGAAACATAACCTAAAAATCACCTTCAGATATGAAGCTTTTAAGAGCAACACTGGGAAATATTAATTTGTTGACAATAAGCTGAAATGTTCTATTTTAGAGTAGTAAATCAATCAAATAGCTCTTAAAATAGACAAATTTGTATCTTGAAACAGTATTTTTGAGGTTATGATCAATCTCAGCACAATTAACTTCATTTTAATATTGAAATTTTATTGTTATCGAGCCTGTAATAGCAAATTACGCCAGATTAGGTGCAATAATGAATGATTTTGAAGGTTATTTAGTAGCAAAGTTTGTTTTAAATTAGCAACATAACCTAGAAAGATATAAAATTTGTGAAGAACAATGCTTTTTCTTCGAGTATTCGCGATTATTTCTTTTCAAAGTAACTTTTGAACACACTATATTGTAGTGTCTGAAACACTTCCAGTTAGTTGTACACTGCACTTCTGACCATATTATCTCCCCCTTGAAGCCTCTCTTGATGAATTTCACGAGAGATTTTTGAAAAATTATGTGTGCAAAAATAGGCAGAACAGTGTTTCGGTGGGATTAGTCGAATGTGTATTCTAAGACACTTGCTCAGGATCATAAAGAAACAAATGTGAGCCTATATTGTGAGTGGAAACGCCTCAGAATTACCATAAATGCAGCAAATTGGCTCAATAGCTCTCTTTTATCCATTGATGCTCGTTTGCTGGTGTGCTCTAGAAAATGCTGCGACATGACGAAGAAAAAAGGCGTTTCATGAATGCACACACAGAGAAAATTTCCTCTCAATGCTGCGGAATGATGAGTTTTTCATCGCGACGTGCGCGCCTTCCTCTCGTGTGGCATCTTTTCAGCCCAGCAACACATCGAGAGAGTCTTTTCTGTTTGATGGAAAGGAGAAATGCGCAGGGAAGGTATGATAATAGTGCTCACCAGAACCTGTTTGATCGCTGGATATAGAAAGTCTTGCTCTTTTCGCGTCTTCTAAGATGCTCTTCTGCTCATGTTGGCTTGAACTTCTTCGCTCATTCACGAGAATTGCGTCCAATAAGCCCGAGACATTTCGGCAATTGTCCATGAAATTGGCCACAAAAATCAATTTGCTCTATTTCACTCCTTCAACAACCCAATCAGGCACAATCGTCCTGATAATCAATTGACAACAAATACGTTTTAGAGTTGAAGTTTTTAACCCTGTTTTCACACCTCTTATCGTGACGTGTGAACAACTGACGTGGATTTTATCAGGTGTGGTGTTTGGTTTACACACAAAAGTCTGCCGTTTGGAAGCGCGCTGTTCGCGGAGGATGGAAAAATATGCACAAATGGCTTTTCATAATGAAAACGCAAGATATAACAACAAAAGATGCGTGTGGAAGAAGTGGAAGATATTCCGTGGGCGGCGTCAGCTGAGCTGAGAATTAAATGAGCAACAATTGCATTCACGAGGTGTGGATGTAAACTGAGAAACAATTAGGAAACTCTTTCAGTTGCTTTCAGTTGTTTGCAAAGCATATCGAAGATCCTCACAATCTTGTGGGTGATTTAACAAGGGGGAGAAAATGTGTCTTAAATCTCTACACAACTTTTGAGCACTTTTAGCACTTAAATTTCAGACTGTTTCCACTGTAAGAATCCACTTAAAACCGCCTTTTTAGACATCTTTTCCAGCCATAACCTCAAAATATGACTAAGAAATCCTCCAGAAACTCTGTTTGGAGGCTTTCTAGATCACAAAATCATCTCTTACGATCTGATAATGAACTAAAATCGACCAGAACGCTTTCTAAATGAACATTTTTCAAGCTCCAAACCAATATTTTTGAGGTTATGTTCGATATTATCGCAATTTGCAGTATTTCTCAGCCTCAAAGGCTCAGAATAGCAATGTTTATTGCATGAAAATTCCTAATTCTGCCAAAGTCTAGCAATCTTTTCTGTTTCAACATATAAATTGCTGTGCTAAAATGTGAATTCATGCGTTACATAACCTCAAAAAATAATTTTGTGATTGATTTTGCGTGAAAATCGAAGGAAATCCAAAAAAATTGGGATAATTTGTCAGCTAAAGAAGCACTTGCTGAGCTGTACACCACTTCTGACTGTGTTATCTTCCCCTTGTAGTTAAATAAAGGGTCCTTCAATGTGCTCAAAGTGCCTCAAAGACGGCAAAGATCTTGGTGTCATTTTCCGCAGAGTTGGAAGAAAAACGTTCTTCCCATTCCGATTAAGGCATTTTTATGCTATTTGTTTGACCGCTGTGACCCCTAAAACCAGATGTTTTGAAAACTGGCAGATCAACAAGACGAAGAGTGCTTCTGCCTGGTGGATTTGCCGGATACAGTGACGAGCAAAAAGTCATATCATGTGAGATTCTCGTGAGAATCTCGCGCCCATTGTCATAATGCAGAAAGTCTGGAGGCGAAGGGGATTTTCTATGTAGTATGCTTGGTGCTGATGTTGGAAAAGTGTGGGTGTCGCGCTGCGTAGTTGGGTGAAAATTGGCCAGAAAACATGGCCCATGGGTGAGGAAGTGACACAATGGGGGGCATATTTAATGAATTATTGAGCCTCGGTGTCCACCTCCGAGTGACCATTGAGGTGCCACACGGACAGGTGTAAGCGGTGTAAGTGCATTCATAACCCACTGTGCCTCTTCCAGTGCATCAGTGTATTGGTATCTAGATAGACAGAGTTGTGTGTGATAAATAAAACTATGGGCTCCAACACGATGGACGCCTCTTCGCCTTCGCCGAGTGTCGACAATCAGACTTCAGTCTCTGGCTGGCTGTTGTGCTGTGAAGAGTGTTCTGGGCATCGCGAGTGGTCAGTGTCGTGTGAGATTTCCTTGATAGATTTCGTCGTGGTAGGAAAAGAAAGTGGAACAATTCTCTCGATATCATTCTCGTGGCCCAAACTTCTCTCTTCTCTGTCTTTCGGCTCCGCAGTTCCCGAATGTGATGTAGTTTCTTTGAGCAACTTGTTGCTCTCTTGTGTCACTCGATCATCTCGCGCCCGACGACTGATTCTGTGATTTACCCTGTGAAATCTTGGCGGTTTTATTTTGTGCGGTGATCACGAGTTGGAATTGATGTAAATTGCGAGACAAGGACAATCGAAATTGTCTTCAATTTGTGCGAACTTTCTACACATTCGCCAAGCACAAACCAATCCAAGGAGTTAATCCACATCTCAGCAAGTGCTCAGCTGTGGCCCTGACCACTCTTCTCTTGCTGTGTCTTCTCTGAATCTCTGGGTGGACTTGAGAGGCGTCAATTTGTACGCACTTGTGAGGAACAATGGCTCGAAATTCCCATACCACGTAAGTGTTCAATCGGATAATGCGCTCTCTGACGAGAGAGAGAGACTTTCATTTGGACGGTGAAAATGTTGAGTGCAATTCTTTATGGTTTACTTACCATTCCGACTTGGTCGATCGCCGAGTGGATTTCCTATTGAGTTACAAACAGGGTGTCTGATGATCATCTTGGCTTTCTCGCCTGTGATCTTAGCCAAAGTTCAGGTGAAAATCATCGATGTACTTTCCAATGTGCGATGCTGAAAGCAATAACTCCGATACGGAAACCATCCATTAGACTTTTCGCACTCCATTGCAATTTAATATTCACGGTTATCGCCAAAGAGAGTGAGAGAGAGAGAGGGAGAAGGAACCACCCATAGATTGCAATCTGGCGCACAAGAAGGGAGCCAAAGATGACGTGAGGAGGTGGGAAAAGGCAGTAAAAATTGTAGTGCAAATTGCTGAACACGTTTTACAGGTTATAATTGATTGGAAAATCACGTCGTTGCGCATTTAGACAATTTAACAGATTCAAGAGCGGAGCTTTTTTATGGCGCAACACCGCCAACACCCTAAAATAATAAGAATGTCAACCCAAAATCCAAGGGGAAGATAGTATTCCTGAAATCTGTACACGAATTCCAGACACTTTTAAACGTACTTCATTTTATTCTTGATTTATCCAGTTTTTCCGCTTTAAAAACAACATGAAATCAAAAATTTTTGAAAAAACTGTGAGGTTATGAATGCGGCTTATAAATGTTTCTTCACCTAATTTTAACCTTTTACACCAGAAAATTAGTGAATATGGCGAAGAACACAATGTTTCTACAAGACAAAGACGTTAAATTTACCAATTTTAAGCAAAAACAGACAATTTTCTAGACTGAAATACCATTTTTTGAGGTTATGTTTGACTTTTAAGCCTTTTCGTATGTAATATGAAGTTATTTTAAGCAGAAAAAGCTCAACATTGCCAAGAAAAAGAGAAATAATCACAGAATTAACACAATTTTCATGATTTAGAGGATCTTTTAATCACCTGAATCTGTCTTTTATCAATCACATAACCTAGAAAAAGCAATATCAATTATTTTTCTAAACAGAATTACTAAGAAAATGCTTGTATTTGTTGAAGTAGAAGATTTTTCAGTGCAATTCTTCGATATATTTTACCACTTAAAATTTTTTAAACACTTCCGTGAAGTTGTACACCACTTTCAGCCTAATATCTACCCCTTGCCAAAAATCCAACGACTTTGCGCGCCAGCGGAAATGGGAATTTATGCATAAAAGTTCCTCAGTAGAAAAAAAAAATGGGCAAAATGAAGTGTAAATTGATGACAAAAGTGGTGAAGGAACTGGCAATAAAAATCCACTCATTTGTTCATACAACCATGAATATCGTCCCAATTAATTTATTACTTCAATTACGTGAATTAAGGCATTGAACGCCACCATCAGTGTTGACTTTGTGTGACTAATGATGGTGCTAATTGTTGCAATTTTAATTATACTTCCCACCCCAAAAAGCCGCTTCTTTCTCGCATTCTGTGGAAGTTTGCTATGAGAAGTGCGCAAAGCCACTTTTGTGGGCTTTCACGAGAGAAGTCAACAAATACCTGTCATGCATAGTAATTTCTCAATTTGAATGATTTCCAGTTATATTTCTCACTTCACGACAATTTGGGAATGTGAAATTCCCAATTGAAGAAGTGCTGACGATGGAATTTTATCTGCTGATTGATTCATTTGTCGCAATACAATCAGTATTGACTCTCTATCTAGATACGATGGCACTTTTCCTCTTATCACACATATTAAAGAGAGAAAAAAAACCTTGACGAAAGCATTTTGAGATTTTTATTTTTACGATGTGGAATATTGTTGCTGAAAACCAGGCACAATTATCATGAAAACTAAATAAAACGATGATTTTTCCACGCTCGTGAATTTTTTAAAGTCAAACAGGTGCCAAGAAGACTATCAAAAGTCTTTTTTCTACAGTTGATGTCTTATTATTTTTGGATAAATCTAATTGTTTTCTATCACATCTCAAAATATTACATTCGGTACTTTGGGAAAAAATTTAAGAAATATGATTTTCCCAAAGAAATCTATCTGAAGTGGAAAGAAAAGCACGGATGGAAATGTGATTCATTGGAGTAAAGTGAGAATAATCCTGGCCAAATATTCTTTTTCAAGAAAAAGCATTGATTGTCAACACTAGAGCAGCGAAAGTCAGGAAGAATATCTAAGAAATTCGTCAATTGTCAAGCGATGTTTAAAAATTTCCTTCATTTTTGCAATGGAAATTTCATTCAGTGAACAAATCACTCGGAAAACATGATGATTGTAAGAATTCTGATGATTCTGAAGAAAGAAAAAAATTTCTTGAGATATCCAATGTTTTCAAAGGGCCAGAAAAAATGTAAAAAAATTGATTTTTACAAACTGTTTGAAGAAATAGTACACGAAAACTATCAAAAACCCCACTTATTGTACCAAATATTATCAGTTTGTCTATCATATCTTTGTATTTTTGTTAATATTTCAACAAATAACAGTGGAATTATCTGAGAAATGTTCAAGAAAAAAATAGAGTAAAGCAATATTATCAATTTAATGAAAGATAGCAGGAAGTTTAGGGAAAAATTAGTCAAATATCAAACCGATATCAAGTCTCAAACTTCAAATTGTACTGAAAAATGGCGATTTTGTCTTTTGATAGTCTTCTGAGCAGCCGTCGGAGTATAAAATCTAGCGTGTTTAGCTGGAAATTCACCCAAACGCAGAGTGACTTTTGAGCAAATTGAATGCAGAGTTAGAACGGGAAAAGTGGATGCTGGGAAATTGCAAAATTGAACATCTCTGAGGCCAATTACCAATAGTTTCAATGCGAATCCATTGTATCGGCGACTCCCACAGCAATTATCGTTATATAAGGCCGCGCCGGGAGTGAAATTGTAAAGTTAGGCGTTGAAGATGAGGCGCTGGAGATTTTCTCCCATCGAAAATGACATTATGAGGAAGTGTGTAATTGGACAAATGTCTGACAAGTCTGTTAGGTGTCTTCTTGTTCTCCCGAAGAGAGAGAAAATAATGACCCTAATGTTGGGAAAATGTGTGAAAAGTTGACAAGATTCAAGAGATTATTATTGTCACGCTTAGAGATGGAAATTCTTCTATATGGCAATTTATATGCAAATATTCCTCACCAATTTGACCCACAAGAATTCAGCTCAAAGTCAGCATAATTTTAGCTGCAGCTGAAATTTCATGTTGGGCGACTTTTTGCCCATAGAAAGTATTACATTTCTTGCCATAGGTCATTGACCATTGGGTCGAGGGCCCGGCGAAGCTGCGGCTCGTCTCTAATTCAGCCTCACAGAAATTCGACAGTAAACTTGGAAAGATGAAAAGACTCCCATTCGGTGTCTTTCACAAGCGATGGCCAGTAAGAAAGAAGGAAAAAAAGACGGCCAATATGTTTGGGATCTGCAAAAGAGTCCGCATTTTATAATGCTATATTAAGTGAGTCACAATATGGGGAGCAATTGTGCAATTAAAATCAATTTAAAATGAGAGAATCAATGACACACAGTGGAGAAACGGCCAATTTGCCGCCAAGTGAATTATCTGCAGGTTCTTGGGTGTCGCCCAAGAGCGACTTTCTGGCCACCAGAGCGCTAATGGAAAGGGCGCACAGTCGTCAATTTGCACTTGCGACCGCCAAGGGGAAGATATTTTGGTTGGAAGTGGTGTACAGCTTTTAAGAGGAAGTTTTTGGAATCAGAAGTGGCAAAATTAAGCTTCCGTTTCAACAAATTGAGGCATTTTCTATATTATTATGCATAGAAAAATCAATTTGATCACTTTTCTAGGTTATGTCATTGATTTAAGACAAATTCTGGTGATTAAATAAGTCTCAAAATCATCAAAACTGTGTTTACACTAGAAATATTTCTCTTTTTCTCGGCAAAAACACTTCAGACTGAAGAAACTTCGGTAGTACAGCTTAAAAGTCGATCATAACCTCAAAAATATCATTTTAGGTATAGTTTTTCCATGGTTTAAGCATAAAAATGAGAAATTCAGCCACTTTATCCAGTAGAAACATTCTTATTTTCGCTATATTTACTCATTTCCAAGACTGACAGGATTAAAATTAGTCCTAGAAAGATTTTTAAGCCGGATTCATAACCTCACAATTTGGTTAGAACTTTCCTGAGTACTTTTCGCAGTCAAAACTAAAAAATAGAGTCATAATTGAGTCAGAAAGTGCTTTTAAAGCCGTTCAGGAATGTCTAAAGTGTTGAAAATTCTGGTGTACAGATTGAGGGCATATTATTTCCCCCTTGGCGACAGGGTTAGAGGCAAAAAAGCACTCACTCTATTGGTTTATTGTGGATTTTAGAGCACACGCTTTTGCAATTAGGCGAAAGCATTTGAGAGAGTTGGCGATGCAAATAGACAATTACCATCCATCACGAATATGAATTTTCGTGGGGACAAGGCTAGATTTAGTCTCTCCCCCATGGTGGACATGAATGAATGCACTAATTATGTATCAGACGATTGTATCGCCACGGAGGCGACTCGATGTCTCAAATTATGTGTCGCGGGGAGAGTTGAATAATTGATTTTGGTCGGTTTTCCGGCTAAAGTTTGGGCAAAAGTGTCTCTCCATTTGAGCATAAAGTGGCGGGAAATCTGGCTGAGCTATTTGCGGTGTGACCCACCCTATGTTTAGCCACTGTTATTCGCACAGTGTGGCGTGGAATTAAACCAATTGACCCATTGGCGTGAGGCGGAAAGCACTCGAGAGAGACAGAGAGAGAGAATGAAAATGCCAAGAGGTCGCAATAGTCGAGCGAAGTCATTAAAATTAGCACCAAATGCATGTTCAAATATTTGAACATGATGAAGAGATGTAACACGATCGCCTTCTTCTGCCTCCCAAGCCCCACATGGCGCCCCCATGCTCCACGTGAGTGTCGTTTCTTTCTCCAGACATTAATTATTGGCATTTATCCCGCCATGCGGACGCACCCAGATTAGATGACTCGCCCGATTCATGGGGAACTTTTGCAGAACAGCTGAGAGGAAATTGCTACCATGCCAATTATCTGGGAGATACATTTCAGTTCATTGTGGGATTTTTCCGATGCCAGATAACCACTTGTTCCACTATTAATTGAGATATTGACTTGAGTAGCTCAATAGGATTACGCAAAAGTCAGCAACTTCTTGCTGAAAAGCCACTGAAAGTGAATTGATTTTCTGCAACTGCACGAGATGATCACGATTCTGTGTGTTTGCTATTAATTTTCATAGGTGGGAAAATGGGTGAAATTAATTAAAACAAACTATTGAGCTGAAGTTTCTGCAATGCTAGAAACTCTTAGATTTATTGTTTCACCGAAATATATCGAGAGGCGAATAGAAAAGTATGAAAAATCGACTGTTTATGGTTTTTCGGCGTACATTTTCCCTAAGAAAATTGTCTCAAACTGCAGTCAAACGCATTAAAAACACCTCTTTGATAAACATATTGATTTAAGATCTTCAAGATCTGCTTAAAATGTTCTTCCTTGGATAAAACGTACTCGAAGATTAGCAAAAAATTGACTGGAATAATAATTACAGAGCAAAGTTAGCATTTTAGTGAACAATTCGGAGGTGTTTTGGGGTGAATTTGACAAATATCGCAGCGAAAAACGCTAAATTTTCAAATGGTTTTCTTGATAAATGGCGATTTTGCCTCTTCACACTTTTCTTACGCCCTTGCTGAATGCTTTTTTTCGGCGAATCAAGTGTTAACAATCATGTGAATTCATGAGAAATTTTACAGTTTCACTTTTCCCAAGAATAACACGAAGAATTACTGAGAAGAAACCTTCCTCTATAAAATGTTCATACATAAGTGATGACATGAAACCCGAGACTTCTCCCAGAGAAGACCAGCAGAAGGACGAAGTTGTGGGCAAAGTGAGGAAAAAGCAAGACAATTTCGATATGTGGGCCAATGAGACAAGATGTGAAAAACTGTGAGCGGAAAGAGGAAGTTTTTCATGTCAGACACACTTTATCACCTCTTCTAGAGATGAACTTCTTCCAGAAGAGTGGATTATAATGAACCTTTTTTCTTTATCAAACTGCAAGCAAATTCCAAATTCCAAATTTCACTTTCGCTTTAGCGGCTTTAGTCAGTTGTTCTTGGGTGCAAAATTAGAGAAATTCCATCTTTATTGCCACACTCTTAGGAGTAAATTGAGGTGAAAGAAATTGAATCTTTGCACAGACACTTTTCAATCAACTTTCACCGACAGATGATTTTGCATAAATATTACAATTTTCCCTGCCTTCATGGGTGGAAAATGAGGCAGTGCGCGCGATGTGGCTTAAGTAGAATATTAAAAAGTGTGCGGAACATTGAAGATAATTGAGATAAAAGAGGCTTGAATATGTAAATTTGTATAACAACCTTGCATTCAGATTTTGCCATTGATTTATTGTACAATGTTTTGCTGCAAAAGAATGTAGGAAATAATTATTCCCCCGATATTCACTATTAAATTCACTTAAAGTCAAATTGCTGAGTGTTTAATCTTTTTGCCACAGGTGAAATCTATATAAGAAAAAGATTTCACTTGGCAAACTAATCAGTCGTATTGACATAAAAGATGTGCAATTAATGCGATGGTGGCGATTGAGAAAAAGGTACAAAACTACGTGAAAATAAGCTTCTACAGAGTCTCTCTGATACGTGAGTATCTCGCTAATTGCCAAAGCGGATGCTGTAAATACAATTTTCTCAGATAGACTCTTTTTCCCGCCACTTAATCACGGCCTTTCTGTACTATAAACCCGTTTTATGCCGTCCGAGCTTTATATACTATAAACTCCTGACTAATTCATGGGTGTTTGTATACGTTTTATCTGAAAAACCGTCTCTCTTTTTGCTCTTTCTCTCACTCGCAACAACAATTGAACTTGACATTGATATTTGGTGTGGTGTGGAGTGTAACAATTGTACGACAGTGCGCGATTCATGACAATTTTTCAATTATTTGCATTCGCTGCGAGGCATTTTCTCTCGCCACTCGACTGGATAAAGTGCTCCAGGCGGAACAATCAGTGCCTGAACATGGTCACAACTTCACAACCATCAAATCGACAAGCCCTAAAAAATAATGTCTCGTCATAGAGAATAAAATAAAAACAGATGTCATTCAACAAGGGGGAGATAATACAGTCAGAAGTGGTGTACAGCTCAGCAGAAGTACTTAAGAAGTGAAAGTGTGCAAGAACTTACAATATTCCCTTCCTATGCGCTTCTTTTACTAACTAATCATCCGGATTTTCTGAATTTTCTTTGATTTTCACGCAGAAACAAACGTAATAATCCTTTTTTCTAGGTTATATAGCAAATTAAGGACAGATTTAGTGAGTAATTCGCATTCTAGCACATAAATTCTGCTAGTTCTTGGCAGAAGTGAGCATTTGTAAGCAATTTACAGTGATTTTTTGATCCTTTGATCCCAAAAAACACTGCAAATTGTTCTAAGATTGAACATAACCTCAAAAATAATCATTTTGACATGGAAAACGCCCATTTGGACAACTTTCTGGACAAATTTGACTATGAATCAGCAATTTAAGGATCATGAGATGATTTTGAGATTTAGAAATCATTCAAATAAAGTTCTAAAACCTCTCTTAGTGATATTTCTGAGGTTATGGACGGAAAAGATGTCCAAAAACAGGCGATTTTAAGTCGATTTTTATAGAAATATCGAATGGAAGTTAAGAGATTCGTTATATTTTGGGAATTAATGAGAAAACAGACTGCAAATTTAATATTCTAGAAGTATCAGGCGAATTTGGAAGTGTTTATGGCATATTATCTCCCCCTTGTTACTCAACAGTGTATTATTTCTTTTGCCAATAACATCGCAAAAAGCAACACCTCAATCATTAATTTATTAAAATAGCGCGTGATTAAGACGAGAAATACACACACAAACACACACTGAAGCACTTTGTCAAGTGTATTGGAACGAAGTGCAGAAATTATTCACAATTGAGTAATCTTTTAGCGATTTTATCCGCACGATTCATTAGCACTGAATTTCACTCCAGCAAAATTAATTCCCCCCCAATCAATTGGATGTTATCAACTTTTTCCCAATTTTCAAGTCATTACGCTCATTTTCCACAAAAGCAAAAGAGAGGAGAAAAGGTCATCTTTTGGTGAAGAAAAGAAAAGAAGATGAAGAAATGCTTAATGGCAAACACTGCGTAATGATTGATTTTCTCCTGCTCAAGTGACTTTTATCACATTTTACCAAAGTGTGTTGTTAACAGAAGAAACTTTCAAATATGAGAGCAAACATCTTTCAAAACTCCATCAAAGAAAAACTGGAATAATACAGTGAAGAGTAAAATAGGGTGTTTTGTATGCATAGCACTTATTTTCCCTGGAGCGAAAGATAAAAGACAGCAGAGGAAGCTGTTCAAGGGCACAAAATAGAGTTGGGAAAGAAGAAAAACAACCCTTCAGTGAACCATGAAAAATATCGAAGAATTAATAATCAATTTGATATGCTTATAAATAACTGCCTAATTAATTGATTCACTAACCTTCAGATAGAGTACAAAAGGTTAGACTTAAGTCAGGGATCGTGACACCTTCTCTGGCTGGAATTACAGAAGAATTCTCCGGAGTTCTGTGAAAACGCGCTTATTAGAATCCAATTAACCGCTCGTTGCAACTTTACGTTTTCATATATTATTTTGGCGGCCGCTCGGCGACGCTAGTGTGAAGTAAGAATGAAATACGAGCGAGAAGGCGTTGCAACGCAAATTTGTGAATTTATTTAATACGAATTTCAGGTGTCAGAAAGTCATTTTCTCTTTGATGGTGTTTTTCTTCAGAAAACATTCTTCAGTGGAAGTGAAGCACATTTTTCGTGTTCCTCTAAAACTAACCTCAAAGAACTTCTAAGAGTTTTTGGCGATTGCCAAGAAATGTTTTCAACGCGAAGAATGAGTTCAACAGGGCGAAATAGTGAATCTAAGTTACAAGACATCTTTATCTGTAACTGTTCCTTATATTGGGCGTCTTTCCGATGGGAATCTTGAAGGATTCTGCTGGCCAGAATGTCCGGGAAGATGTCTTGTTCCCATGAACAATAAATGGAATGAAAACATTGCTTTTCATGTACTTGAAAATGAATTGAAAAACCAATTAGTTTCCTTGAAAAGCTTCAAATGACATTCGGAAAGACATAACTTCAATCTGGTGCATTGAAATGTGCAAAAATATGTGTTTATTTACATAAAAACATAATTATTATCTATTTTAGTGGTTTTCACGTGAACTTTCAGGCGACAAAATATTCAAACGTCAACTTTGCAATGTTTCAGGTCTCACAGGAGATAAATTCCTCACATTGATAAATAATATGAATCGGAATCTTGCAACAACCATTTTACCAAGTCATATTAATTATAGTTTATTAAAATTGTTATGAAAGTAATGTTGCAACGAGCGGTAAGCCAAGCAATTTTCAGTCTTCAATTCTCCTCTTTCTCCTCTTTCTCAGACGCTACGATGACGATGCCGACAACTCCTGGAGCTGCGGTTCGTGGTTTGAGTACATCATTGTGGTTGTCCTGTCCACGATCTTCCTCATCGGCGCTCTGGTGCTCGTCATTTACTGGGCAGTGCAGCACGGCGGCGGATTTGCGTGGTCAGAGGATCCCGCGAAGCAATTCAATCTGCATCCGGTGCTCATGGTGGCCGGCTTCATCACCCTGTCCGGATTCTGTGAGTATTTCTCTCATCCGACATTCCCCTGAGGCCCCTGAGAATAATTCCCTTCGCCCTCAGCCATCCTGCTGTACCGCCTCTGCCGCTGCCTGAAACACATCTACGTGAAGCTGCTGCACATGTTCTTCCATGCCTGTGCAGTTCCGTGCGTGGTCATTGGTTTCCTGGCCGTCCTCGACTCCCACAATCTCGCCAATCCGCCGATTCCCAACTTCTACTCGCTCCACTCGTGGCTGGGACTCGTGACAATGGGACTCTTCGCCACACAATTCGTCGTGGGATTCTTCAGGTGAGTTTCTCCAGCGCGAATTTCGGCAGTTCCATTTTTCCAACCGCCTAAAGTATCATAACCTCAAATTTAACATCGTTTTTGTCATAAAAAGACTCAATTTTTAATTTAAAGACCTGAAAAAACTTACAGAGAAACAGTTTTAAAGAAATATATTAAGTTTCCAGTGGATATTTTGATTTAAATAAATTTTTAAGCGCTATTTTGGATGCACTGTTGATCATAACCTAAAAATTACCCAAAGATATCTAAAAGAATCCTTGAAAGAAACTTATTTGGAATCTTTTAAAGGCAAGAATAATCAAAAATAAGCTGAATTTTGCTGTTTTAGCGTAGAAAAGCATTCAAACATCTCTTAAAATTGACAATTTTGTGCTTTGAACCAATATTTTATAGGTTATGATCAATATTAGCGCAATTAACACCGTTTAACATTTGATCTTAAATATATATGAATTATTTCAATATGAGTGAATAAACTGGTGTTTCACGATGTTATTTAGTCTCTTAAGTTTGCTTAAATTTAGTTACATAACCTAGAAAAGCAATAAGATGTATAAATTCTCAAAATATTGCGTTAATTTACTTTGAAAGTAGCTCTTTAACGTCTAAAAACACAAATATTCAAGCTCTTTTATGCTTTTCGTCCTCCTTTTGCAGCTTTCTGGTCCTGTTGTGCTGCGAAGACGCCACTTACTCGTGTCGAGCTGCCATGGTGCCCATTCACGCCAGTTTTGGGCTCGCTAACTTCATGCTGGCCATCGCGACATGCGTTTCTGGGATCACAGAGAAGGCAATCTTCAAGCTCAAGTGAGTTTTCGCGGTGGTTTTCCAACTTGAGGCTCTTGTAATTGGTTTTGTGCTCTCGTTTAGGGACGACTATTCAAAGTGGGGCGAGGAAGGGATCATCCTCAATGCTCTTGGGGCCACACTCATTGCTCTTGGCATCCTGGTTTGCTTCGCCGTGCGGCGATCAAACGCACCGGCAACGGCAAAGGTCTACGTGACAGAGCGCCTATAAACGACCAACGTGGCGATCTAATCAAATTCTATTTAAAAAAGCATCTTAAGAATAAGTTGATCTATATGTAATGAGAGATATTAATACGTAGTATTACTTGGAGAATCTTTGTTATTGACTTTTTAACGATTAATTCAGTTAATGATGAAGACATGTTGTAGTTAAATTATTTGACTAAATGAAGATGGAATTATGAGACACTAAATAGATGAGAAAAAAAGGATTTATAAAATAAAGTATAAATTCCAAGTTCTCCTTTTTCCTGTTATAGAACAAAGTTGAACTTGAGTAAAATGATCAAAAAGGCTTTGCGAGAAGAATTATTTCTTATTCTGTGAATTTACATTTGAATTGGACCTCCAGAAAAGCTTGTAATTTCTTGTGTTTTGCGCCCTTCTTTCGATGATTCGAAGCGACAGCAAAAAGTGAAGAAGAAAGAAGAGAATAGCATGTAAAGTTTACTCCTTAAGGTAAATGCAAGTGAGAAAAAGTATTAAAAAAAATGAGCATTGTTAAGTGAATGTCTAAGAAGAAAAAAAAATTTACAAGTAAATATTTTTACTTTCGCGCAATATTTAGCGTTTAAATCAAGAGTCATTTGTGCAACAGTTGATCAGTCATTTTCACCCTTCCTTTCAACACGTCAACAAATCAACACACGAATAGTTTTTACAAATTGATACCACCTCAAAAGACCTTTTTCCACGAAAAAACCATTGAATTAGAAGAACACGATGAAAGAACGAGAGAAAAGCTTCTTTTTTCTCAATGATCGACAGAGAAATACAAAGAAAAAAATACGAGATTTTAACTAATGAAAAAAATAGATGACACTGAAATTTTTACATATTTATACTTTTTATAATAGTGTTTTAAATGTGAATTTTTGATGAGAAAGTGAAAAAAATAGATGAAAAACTATTCCATTGATGACGCGAAAAGAAGTATTAAGCTACTAAAATATCACCATAAACATTTGAATAAAGAAAAAAAAGCAAACTATGCGAGAAAAATGTCATTAATCTTAAAGTATATCGTCAATCATTAAATAGTAATAATCAAAATATTGAATAATCAAAAAAATGAAATCATAATTGGGTGTGTTTAAATGTGTAAGGAAAGCAAAAGCAAGATTAAACCTCCGAGTGAACAAGCATAATGCAAAAAAAAACTTCGCGATAAAGACGTTCTTTTATGTGGTAAACACTATATATAAAATATATATTTCCATTCCTAACATGAGAATGTGTTCATTGTGACAATTTCTGTGCAAGAAGCAAAATTTTCATTCCCCTTTGAGAGATAAAAAACAACCAATTTTTGGGAACGTATAAAAATCTTCAACAACGATAATTTAAAAAATGGAAGAAAAATAGAGAACAATATTTACATAGAGAATTTAGCTGAATATTTGCTATTTATTAGTGTAATTTCTATAAGAAGGAGTTAAGAAAAAATCGATATTTAAGAGGAGCAACAATATAATTTGCATCGATAGGACAAAACAAGTGGTAAAACAATCAAAAGACTAATGAAAAGTAGTGAAAATTCGCATGAGAAGAAATTAATTTCATGGTCAAATGATGCTACAAAATGCTCATGTTCTCTCCAGTCAATCGTTTTGCCGTCTTTTTTCTTCTTTCCTCCTCCAATTCTCTGCCCAGACTCACAATTTCAAGTGATTTATTTATTTTTGTGGTCAATTACACGCAATTTCAGCTGAATTGAAAAGTTTTGCCCCCCATTTTTACACCCAGTTGGAGAGAGATTTCTTTTATGCATCTCCGTTTTTTTCTTTCTTTCTTTCGTTGTTTATTGGGCGTGCATTTAAATGTACTTTATCGGATTTATTGTCTAGATTTGTTTTTTTCATTCTCTTCCTGTCAAATGAAAATGGAATATCATAGCGAAATTAATTATAGAAAATTTCATTATACAGTAATTCATTATTATACAAGACATCTAGAGAAATAGTTGACATATGAATAAAGTTAGAGACTAAATAAAGAAAATGTCTTTCAATTAATCACTTTTATGACTTCCGAGACAGCTGCGGAGCCAAGGAAGTGAGCTGCAGATCATCTTCATTCGACGTCTCATAAATCCTTAGATAATTACTCTGAGAAGAAAATTTAACGGACTGTTTACCTATTTTTATTAAAGTTTTTAATGCATCCTTAATACCAACGAGTATTAAAGATTGAATTGAAAACTATGATAAAAAGTCGATTTTTCATAGTTTACGTGTTATGTAATTTTGGAAATATCTGTCTATTTTTAAAGAAATTTTGAGATTTGTATTTTATGAGACAAAAGTAAAAAATACTTTTTATTCAAATAACTCGAATTAAAAAAAATTCACCTTTTGCGGCGTTAAACTATAAAGAGTTGAAGAAAATTGTCTCAAAATCCATAAAATGCCTCATTAATAAACATATTAATTTAAGTTTTCTGGATTTCCCTAAAATCTTCTAAGACTTTGAATAAATTTTCATTAATATTTGTTATATTTTAAAATTTATTTCAATGGAAAACTTGAAAGAAAATATGAAAAGTTGGTTTTTTAGAACTTATTTGAATAAAATGTACTCAAAAACTATTAAAAATCATCATTAAAAATACAATTTTCAGTTTTTCAATTACCTTTGCAAGAAAATCAACTGAAACATTCAGAAAGTAATTTTTTCAGGTAATTTTGGCAAATTTCTCGGCAATTTTAACGTGAAATCTTCAATTTTCTCTCCTGGAAAAGGACAATTTTAACTTTGAATATTTTTCAATTTACCCGTCGATATGTAAATAATTTCCCCTCGAAAGCGAGAGCATTTCAGCGACCTGCAACTGTAACCCGGCGCCTCCACTGCGCTCTGCAAAAGCTCCAATTCGACTGTGTCTCGGCTATTGGAGAGATTTCACTTCTCCGCGCGCGAGCATTTCCCGCGCTTTTCCATCGTCACGAAGCACGGTGATCACCTTGAGAGCCACAAAGAGTGGCGCTAATGAAGTTGGCCAGCGCCTCGTGATGATGTGAAAAGCGACATTCCATCGCCTCTCCGGCCAATCACTCCCACCACAGCAGCACGACACGCTCAAGAAAATGCCTCTTACGCAGTCATAATTGAGAGTTTGCTGTGCTCAGTCGACACCACTCGTGTCTACCTTCTCTTTTCACTTTGCTGTGTACACCACAGACGCGAGGGAATGTGACTTCACGTGGACAATTCAATTCAAATCTGCCTCATTTGCTATGAATCGAGGCGACCAGTGTGCAGAATTGGGCCATTTTTCGTGCACAAACCAGTGACAGTGTTGGAAAAGTTGCCTCTTTTGCAACTTTACCCCAGTGGAAATTGGTCAATTGTGCAAGAAAGTGATCTCCGATGAAAGGAGTGCATTGATTGGGTGCAAGTGTGAATAACTCTGTCGACTGCACGCTCAATTGAGCACTTTGACTGGCCAGTTGATTCACTTGGGATTATTTTGTGCTTTGTGGACAAAATGCACATCATCTTCACGCTCATCGCTGCCATTTGGCTGTGCTCACTGCCAGTCCGTGCATCTGGATTCGGAAGGTGACCCCAAGACTTCCCCCACAGCCCCCGGAAAGTGTCCCCCACGAGTCTCAAGAGCCCCCTTGACGACCACCTGTTGTCGCTGGAAATTTCTCCACTCTCGCTCTGGAGCTCTTTCGTCATGTCTCTGTTCCATTGTTTTTGGCGTGGCGAAAGAAAGCATAAAAAGGGGGAGAAAGAGTTGGCGCTTCTTTGCGTGTCGAATGCGATCAAATAAATTGATCCGCGGGAGGATGTTTAGATTTGCTCCAGGATTAAGTGCATTGCAAACTCGATGGAATTGTCGCCTCTCTTTTCACACAAAGTCAAAGGCGAAATTGCTTTTGCAATGGATTAACATGGCACTTTCCTGGGTATAAGATGTGATTGGATTCCTTCACCATACAAACTATTTTTATGTATTGAGAGAGAGAGAGAAAATGCTTTTAAGTAGCGCATTGGAGACGTTACAATTTCTTGTGCAACAGAATTCATTTAAATTGATTAAAAGAAACACAATCTTCTAAAGCTTCTTATAAAGGAATAATGAAAGAACATGAAAGACATTTCTCTGGTGATAAAATCAATACAATTATCATATGTTTAGTGAGAGAAAAAAAAAAAGATTTTCCAATTTGAATTGGAAATCAATTTTGCATTACAATGTAAATATTACAAAATATCCCCTCTAATTACGCTTTAACATAGTTTTGCTCAGTAATTTTTCAATAACATGATAATTTTCCGTTTGCTAATTATAAGGAAAAATTCGCCTATGTCTCTATAGCAATTATCCGCATGTTTTTTTCATGGTGCTTAATTAAACCACAGAGATTTCAATGTGTTCGGCTTTAATCATCTCTTGACCACTCCTTTTTACTTGTAATCACTCAAAAGTATGTAAAAATGCATTAATGCAGCATTAAGATGAGATTTGACGAATATGGGGGGGTCACTTTTTTTCGTATTCAGTCTAGCGCCTAAACGGTTAGAGATATCCATATGCGATTTTCAACAAAGGTCAAAAGCGGTTGAATCGCTAGAGTTTGGTGTTGTCAAATCCAACCCTCCACCCCTCCGTCCTCCATTTTGAACGCCCCTAAAACACTTCTTCTTCATTAACTTGGCTTCTATGGTCTGGATCGGGACCAAATTCTAGTATGTTATAGCTGGCCTCGAGACCTATCCAATGAATTGCCACTTAAGGACCTAGGTCCTTTCAAACCTTAGATATTAAGAATCAAAATTTGAATATTAAAATTGCTTCAACTCTGCTCCTAATTATTCGTTTTGAATAATTATAGCTTCATTGGAAATGTCTCTTAAAATGCCGTCAAATATCTCGAATAACGCAAATATTATAACTCGATACAACCGCCGCTAGTGGCGCTTTAGTCGTGAAAACGATTTTCAAAACTTTAAAGCAATATAACTCGAGAACGAACCAATGCATTTTCTTTAAATTTTAGCATGTTATAGCTGAGGTTAAGACCTTTCTAACGAATCGTTACTTATGAAGATTGAAATTTTAGGAGCGGAGATATTGAGGGTCAAAGTTCATACCTTTACCGACGCATATCTTCGCTGTTTACCAGCCGATTTTGATCATCTCTTCGCCAAAAGACGTATTTCGACGCTGTCTAGTATGCCACATTTACTATTAGTCCTTAAACATTGCTTCTTACTGTCAGATCTCAATAATCTTGAGTTTGTCTGAAACTTCTTGCAGAATCCTAAAAATAACTGAGCTCAACGCGTTGTTTTCACTTTTTCTTTTTCTGTTGTCTTCCAAATGTAAGAAGAGAAAATTAAAATCATACCTTGTGCAAATATGAATGAAATCTCCGAAATCAACACGTGATTTTTTATTCAGGGCATTTAAAGAAATAACGACAGTTGAATTACACATAAAGTGAGTGTGACCGACAAAACTTTATGAACTGAAGTTTATGAGAAAGTCAAAGACTGTATTATGTTTGGACATGGCAAGAGAGTCATAAGAAATTAATTAATTCTGGTTAACTGTTTTATCACATTTTAACATATCGTGATTTTCTCCTTGAGAAAATCAATATTATGCCCAAGCATTTTAACATTATTCAATTAAACAATTTCCAACAACTTCTCTCTCTTTGGTTTCTAGGAGTTCATCATGTTCACAAGAGCATTGCAATATCATTTTGTGAAAACACTCACCGAACAGAGCAGAAGGTCATAAAATTAAATCACCAAAACTAATTTAATACATTCCCATTACATTTTCAATTTCGAAAGGAAGAGTTTTTGTGCCAAAAACCATTAATTTGTCTCTCCAGGTGATTCAATTATTGCGCAACTCTCCTTGTTGGTTTTTGAACTTGAAAAGTGTCTCAACGACCTTTTTCCCCTTTTCAATCTTTCGGGTGAAATTTGTGCTGAAACTCTAAGTGGGATTTCACCAAATAAAACCACCAAAACTGGAAGTGTTGAGGATAGAGAATTTTATTTGCAGAAACAATTAGCGATGAAAATCACCTTAATTTGTGTGGACTTTAGGAGGAAACTGTGAAATTGCTGAACTCTCTTTCGAAATCCCTCCCCGAAGAGGAGAATTTAGAGCACACAGTATTTCAATTAGTGCAGCATTGAAAATTGCTCATTTATCTGCCACTGCTTGCAATTAGTCTTATGTAGATATTGACTATAACTCTTCTCTCTCTCTCTTGCAGATGTCCGAAGTATCCATCAATGCCAAAATACAACATGACTAAGGTATTTAGCGCCTTTTCCGTACAACATCAACACGCCAATTGAATCCAATCCGTGTGTCATCAATTAAAGAACTGCCAAGAGAGTGTAAACAGGAGTGCAAAAAAAAGAGTGTGTAATTGATGGAAATCAGTGTAGAATTCTCATTTGTGTAAATCGATACATTTCCCCCCAAAATTCACCATCAGTGATTTGTTTTGGGGCATTAATTGGTGGAAAATTGGCGCTCGGTTTTGGCCATGAATTGCCATAAAGTCTTTTCAATTGACTTTTCGCGCTGTCATTTCCGCAACCGCAGCATTTCCACACTTTCACCCTTTCTGTGGGCAACATTGTTGCCAATGACACTGGTTTTGCCAGCGCGTAAAGTGGCGGAATTGCAGTCGCGACGCGATGTTGGACTTCGCGGAAGGAAGAGAGCCGTTAGGAGAGATATGAGATTTGAAATGATGCCAGGGAAGGCGAAACTTTAACCAATTTCGGTTGACAACAGCACTCAAACTGCTCTCTTAATCCTCACTTATTGGTCATTTCACTTCTAAACTTAGCAAGGGGGAGATAATACTGGCTTTAATCTGTACAACACTTCCTGACACTTCCGCAGTTTCTGTGCAAAATCTTCAACACTTAAGACACTCCTGAACACCTTCAGAGGCATTTTTCATCGCTTTTTAGACTCCTTCAACAGTTTCTTGCACTCTTTTCTAATTTATCACAATCTAATCCAGGTTTTTCCGTCCCAGGAACTTAAGGCTCTTCAAATACTTAGATTTCAGATCCCAGGATTTGTTCCTGAACAAATTTCTGTGAGAATTTTCTAGTTTTGTCGTAGGAACATGCTTAGAAAACCTCTGACCAAATTGTGAGGTTATGAATCCGGTTAAAAAATCATTTTGGCATGATTTTTATGCTTTAAAACCAGGAAATTTGCAAAGATTGAAGGCTCAAATCGCCACTTTAAAGCACAAAGTGCGGAAATAACTAAACAAATAGACATTCTTCTGGGTTGAAATGACGTTTTTGAGGTTATGATTGACTTTTAAGCTGATTTCTATTGTAATTTAATCAATCTGATGTTTCTTTTGAAAGAAAATGCTCAATTCTGTCAGAAAAAAGAGAAATATTCCCAGATTAAACACAAATTTGATGATTTTGAGTGTTTTTTAATCACCAGAATAGCTTTTAAATCAACCACATAACCTAGAAAAATGATAAAATTGGTTTTTCTAAGCAAAATAACTTAGAAAACGCACAAATTTGTTGCAAATATCCTTTTGGAGTTCAAATTTTTCAAATATTTTACCACTTCCAATCCCTAATATCTCCCCCTTAAAACTTAGCATAAGTGACGCTCAGAATGTCTGTTGTAAAATAATCAATTTATTTTATCTGGGCACAACGACTTTATCGGCTCATTGCATTTGAAATGCTCATAAAGTCACCATAATCCCCGGTTTTTCACTGCCTGACTTTTATGCACGCGCACAGCGAACTCACCATCCCTGACCTATGCAATCCACCTGAACTGGATTCGGAATGCTCGACATTTCAGCCTACGCGGGCAATGTCTTGCCTTTGTGCGGCAATTTTACTTTCATTGGCTCGCAATGGCTCCTTATGCAATCTTTGGCGTCACTTTAGCGATGACCACGAGATAAAATCACTTAGATTAACTGACCGTGTCTCATTGGCAGTTCACGGGAAAGTGGTACGAAGTGGAGCGATCTTTCTACTTGCCGGAAATCGCTGCCGGCTGCACGACGCTCTCCTTCCAGCCCGTGAACATGTCTGAAGATCTGGAGGCGGACTATGGGAGGCTGGAAGTCGCCATCAAGACGGTGAATCAATGGTGAGATTACCAGCAAATTCATGTCAATTCCATTACCTCTCAAATTTCCCCCCTTAAACAGGACCGGAAATCCATCCGTTTCCCTCGGCTTCGCGCTGCCAGAGTCTGAGAATTCATCCATTATGCACTTCCAGGTGAGACCCAAATTGATCCCATTCATCAGCTCAAGTGCAAAGTCTCCCAGACTCTCTGACTCACTTTGCATTATGAAATGATAATTCAATGCAATCAATTCAAAGTGGACTTTTCTTCGCACGCGTGTGTGTATCTTGAGAGGTTTTGCAATTCTCAATATATGACTTTCATGCTCACTTTCGAGACAAAGTCGAGAGAATTGTACAAACAGAAGACAAAAAAAAACTCGTTTCTCGCGGCGTTTTTTTATGTTAATTTTTAGCACACTGACCTCAAAATGGGGTCAAAAAGTAATCTGGTTGAATATTTTCTGCTAGATATTCAATTGTTTCATTCTCTTTCCAATTTCAGAGATGATAATTTTTGGCAGCATCACAAAAATCTGTATTTATTTAATCAATTTAAATTGCATTTAGCTTCACAAGCCAGATCGATTATTTTTCTTTTAAATTCAATCAATTAATTTAATTGCATTTAATTGCTCTTTCCACAATTCACTATGACATTGCAATAAAAAGTCAATCAAATTGTGCAATTTGGCAAATATCGAGGAAATTATTTTTTTATTTCACTCACTCTTAATATCATTAGGAGAGTTAATAAGTGCCAAATATAAATGATTTTTATTGAAATTTTCACCAATATTCACATTAAAATAAACGCTGTTTATATTTTTCTATCAATTAATGGAATTTTGCAGCGAATTTTCCCCTTTATATTTATTTTCACTCATTTTCACGCTAAAACACCACTCAATTTTTATAATTTCACCCATTAAAAGTTGTATGAAAAATGTGGAATATTCCATAAATAGCCCAATATTTGAAATGTTTCTGCGTTTTTCACTCCTTTGAGATATTCAGGGATTTTTTCTTCTAGCTTTATTTACTTCCTTTTTCACAATTTCTCTGCATTTTGTAGCTCTCGTCGAGACTTCCGACCGCCTTGGCTCGATTGCTGCCCGGCTCTGGAAAATACCAAATCCTATTCACTGATTACGATAATTTCGCCATCCTCTGGTCGTGCTTCAATTTCGGATTCGCCCACACTGGTGAGCCACAAACGTCCGAGCCTGAAAGTGAATGAAATCTGTTGAAAAGGCAATTTAATGTTTGATTTCACCATGCGCGCTTTATTGCCTTAAACTCGTCACGAGGCAATTAAAAATATGCTCCACATCGAATTGTGACAATTGGAGCAATTCTCAGTCACACAGAATATGTTAAAAATGTGTTATATTGTTTTAACACACGTCTTTGCTTAGTATGAATGTGTAAATCTGTAAATATCTTGCAAAAAAGGATCAATCGGAAATTGTGGCTCTAATTTTCAAGCACGAACATGAATTATGTTTGCAGTAAATTCTTTATATCACGGATTTTTGACAAATTTCACCGTTTTTCCTCTCTTACACATTCTGACATCGCTTAAAACTCTAAAACAGTGTTTTAGCGAGAATAGCAAGGACTGTTTTTCCTTATTCATTTCGAATATGTTAAACTTTTCCATGTTTGAAGTTTAACACATCTGTGTGTTACTCAGAATTGCTACAAATATTTCAGCACTTCATTCGCTTCGGGGTATTTATTTAGTGGTTTCGGCACTCAAATTTCCACATATTTCCACAGATCAAATCTGGTTGCTGGGCCGCGAGCGGGATTTCGTCTTCGAGATCCGCAAGAAGATCTACGATGCTCTGGATCAATTGGGCCTCGACTCGGATCGTCTGGTGATATCGAAGAACAAGAATTGTCCAGTGACATTGTGACACACCCTCTAAATACCCTTAACATTAATTCTGTGATAAGAAACCTTAATTGTTTTCTGGGCGGGAGGAGAAGAAACACTGTAAATCCGCGGCAGGCGTGCAAAGTTTCAAATAAAGTTTCGAGAAACTGAGCAAAGAGAGAGAGAGAAGGAAGAGATCATCTCGGGGTTGTATGTAAATTTTTGCACCACTTGAGTGGCGAACATGCTCGAGACACTGAGGCGCAGTTCAAGGGTTGAAGGGATCCACATAAGAGTCAGTGATTTACATTTTATTTGACTTGAGCTGAGAAACTTTTTGGCCAACATAAATAACAATTGTGCAAAAGGCAAGTGAAGGAGTTCGGCCATGTGCTAGCGTCAGTGCGACTTGTCTGAGAGAGAGAGAGAGAGGGAGGAGAAAAGGGGGTGAGAGAAGGCCTGCCTTCACCCCTGAGGCTGTGATATATGCGAAATATATCAACATCAGCCCAACATCCGCATAATAATGTGCAAAGAAGATGTGCTTTTGTGTACCATTCATATTAATCAGGGGAAAGTTTTGTTGTTTATCCCCCAACATTGTCGGAAGTTTTCTTTTGCACTGCGACTCCGAGACTCGCCACATCCTCGACAGAGAGAGAGAGTCTTCAGTGTGGGACACAAAGTGAAAACAGCCTTTCCCATTGACACACATCCTCCGCAGTGCTCCACTTGAGCCTGCAATTTCCTCCCACCTTCACCTAATCAGCCAAGTTCGCAGCTGCCGGATTGAGGACAGGCATCTCGAGCATCTTAATGGAAAGCCGAGGCGCGGCATCGTGAATATTCAGTGCACGCCTTTGTCATTCCGCAACAAGCATCCGTTTTTTTTTCCTCCTCCGAAAATCGTGTTGCTCCGGAATTCTGAATATTCCTTCAATATTCCTTTCCATTCTTATATGAGCGGAGTTTTAATTATCTCTACTCGGAAAAAATGACGAGAAACATGAGTGAAACTTGCCAAACTGCTAAATATCTTTGGTAATTCAATCAATTAACCTTGTTCTAAGGCAAAGGCATTGCTCATTGTTAACTCTGGTGCTTCAAGAGTTTGGCTTAGAAACACAAACAACTATTTTCCACAGGAATTTCATTGTGATTCAGCACTTGCTTAACTCTGTTTGTGGCTAAATCCGCGTCTAACTCATTCATTGAGTTGTACTTGATTTCGGCGCTGTTGGAAGTTTACACGATGCTTAATATTTTCACACCATGTCGAGTGACTATTCTGTTTAGAATAGTTGCTAAATTGATTAATTTCCACATCGACGGATGAATTGGAAGACAAAAATACTGAAAACCACATCAAAAACGTTCATCAAAGTGTTAATATTGCTCTGCAAATTAATTTAATTTGTATTCATTGAAATTTTAACTGAAATATTGCAAGTTAAAAGAAAGAAACTGAAAAAATTACTTTCCAAAGTCAATTTTTAAAAATATTTGAGTACATTTTATCACCTTCTCATACTTTACATTGACTTTCTCCAATGTTTTCAAGTGAAACAATCAAGAAATGTCACAAATAATATTTATTAATTCAAAATCTAGAAACTAAGAACATTTTTGAAAAATCCTGAAGAGATATTTAACACGTTTGACGGTAGTTTGAGACAGTTTCCTCAAGAAAAATCAACTTTTCACAATTTACGCTGTAAAAGGCATGAAAATTTTACACATATGTATTTTCTGGATAAAAAGTATTGATTAACTGAAAATACAAATTTTAAAATTTTTCAGTATTATACATAAGACGTGAAAGTATGAAAAATCCTCTTTTATATATTACATTCAATCTTGCTAGCCAAAGAAGTGTTTTTAATTAAGAAACAACGAGTCAGATTTATGCTATTTTCGCGGGAATTTTTCTGTTAACAGAAACAACCCAATTATTTGATAAAAAAAGGTATTAAATCTGTTTTACTAATTCATTAACACGAGCATAATGTAAATTGAGTATAAATCTTTAATTGACTTGTGCTCTCAGTTCCACTTAATTATGCCAGATTTCAGCAGATTTGAATGAGCAGAAAAAGCTGACCATTTCCCAGTTTGCCTCATTCATTCATAATCATCACAATTAGGGTCTGAGAAAATGCGGGTAAACAAACGCACAATACAAAAATATATACACAGTCCGAAAAGAATCAAGCCAGAGAGAATGTAAATTATTTATCTGTGCGCATGAATTGCGCTGAAAATGGCTCAAAAATCTTTTCCCCCGTCTTGTTGAGGGATGAAATATTAATTATGGTACAAATCCAGTCAAGGGAGTGTTGACTCGTGCAAATCTATGCATAAATTCACACAAAATTTGCGTGAGAAAAGAAAGGCATTTTTTTCTCGTGAAATTTCATCATGAGAAAAGTCAACTTTAATTAACAGCGCCGGTCAGTTTTCACCCAACACGGCGGAGCATTTTTCCTGACAGCCCGGAAAAGTGCCACCAAGTGGCGGGAAAGCTCTCGCAAAAGCTTCTTGGATGTGTCATGATTTTTTGGCGCGAAGAAATGCAGTGAACGCCGTGACACGGAGAATCCTGTAAAAAGTGTATTAAGCGCTACATAAAAGGTGGTAGTAAATTTCTCTTTTGTTCTCCCCGAGTCCCTCAGTATATATTTTGTGACACAACACAAAACTCCCCAGCTCAGTTTTCACATGCTTCCTGCCATACAATTTATGGATCCCACCGGAAAAAAGCGTGGCTAAGGTTGAGGGGAAACGGGGCGAAATGGAAGAAATGGAGCCATCTCGAAACATTTGGTGGCTGAAATGTTGCTCTCGTGGTTTTTCCACAGCCAGTCAGAATATTATTCTAAAAACACTAACCGAAACTGTCCTCATTTTTAGGGTGGGCGCTTTTTCATCCCTCAACACCGCGCGGAGTTGCAAAAGGTGCACTCAGCGAAAAATATCTCATGATGCAATTAACTACGTCGTCATAACGCGTAATACATTATATAAATGTTACGAAGTTTACGAAAAATCAACTACGCGTTATGTATATCATAACGTTTCTCAAAAGCTTCGTGAATTCGTAATAAAATTGTGAGAAATCAACTACGCTCGTTATGAATACTATAATGGGTGCATTATAACGTTAAAAGCAACCAAATATCATGAAATCAACTACGCCGTAGTTAATATCATAACGTTTTTATGCCGTAATTCTTTTCAGACCAAAGAAAATCAACTACGCTCGTTATGCATATTATAACGGCGTAATAAAGACATAATTCAAAGCTTCGACTCCGAAAAATCAACTACGCGTTGTAAATTCCATTACGCGTTATACCATTTACTGCGTTTCATTCTTTATCGCGGAAATATCACGTTATGACATTTACAACGAAATTGCGCATAGTAAATAATTACTAGACTTTCATATTTTATAACGCGTAATACTATTTATAACGCGTAGTTGATTTTCCAGACCAAATGAGTGAAATGTAGTAAATGGTATAACACGGAATCCTATTTATAACGCGAAGTTGGCTTGATTATTACGACTGGCGTTATGATATTAACTACGACGTTATATATATTATAACGTATTTCCCCTCTTTTCTCTGTGTGTGGGCAAAAAAAATACACACAAACACAAATCATGCCAAAAGTACCCAGTAATTCACACAAGTTCACATCGTGTCTCGCGTCCAGGGATGCAGAGACGAGAGATTTATCCGGTTCCCTTAATCTGGTGGCTGTTTTGCCGTGGCAAAACAGCGAATTTGGGTGATGAATAAATCCGTGCCAAGATCATGAGCCTCTCCCGGAGCACAAGTGTGAATTTGTCAGGTGTTGAGAACCAAAACATCAGACGCTCAATTCATCAGGATTCAGCGAAATGACAGCGAGGATTTACCTGGGATCACAGATTCATCTTAGTGACGACAGGAGGTCAAGTGGAAATGATGAATGTGTGAGTTTAAAGGCCACAACGGAGATTTTCAATTCGCCATGAGAAGCACTTGATTTTGCCGCACCAAGAAAAATTCACATTCAACACAATGGAGGAAAAAAAAGACAAAGGAGAAAATGCCCCAATATTCATAGGGACGAAAGTTACAACTCTCCAATATATGGCATAGAGTTTTTGGAAGGCAAAAAAGAAATAAGAAGTTAGAGTTTCCATCTGTCTGGGGGGGAAATTGAGTGAAATTGTGGAATTTCGCACAAAAGAATTTTGTAAGAAATTGACCTGAAAGGGAGCCACATGGGAAATGGAGGCCTCCTCAATGAATTCCGTTGGCGTATAATTTCTCAATTGGGCCCCCCTCGCAGCCCCACACACACACACACGGAAGTCCCAAGGGGAAGATAATACGGCTAAGATCTGTTCCTTAACACTTCCCAAGACTTCAGACTTCAAAATCAAGTAATAACCGAAATCTAACTGACAATTTTAAAACTCACTTTTTTGCACGATATTTTATGATTTTCTTCCGCTAAAATTACACTTTTGCGTATTTTTCTTGATCATAATCTTTTTAATAATCATCTTCTTTAGTTTCAGCTTAAAATTGCAATAGTTTATCACAAGAAATTTAGGTTATGTTTCACTTTAGCGTTGTTTCCGAAAATCACGATTTTCATTGGAAATTGGGAAGTGAAAATACTTACAATTTAGACTCTAGAAATTTTATGGTTGTCTTTAGCTAAAACTGCATTTTTGCATAGTTTTCTTGATAAAAACCATTTAATTATAATTTATCTATTTATCCCTAATATAAAATCGCAACAGTTTATTGAAGAAAATGAGGTTATGTTTTTTTTTAGCATTGTTTCCGTTAAAAGTAACGATTTTCATTGAGTTAAAAAATGCAATTCTACCAATAAAATGGAAATGCTTTGAATTTAGGCATAAGAATTTCTACTTTAAGACGGTTTTTCGTCATAAATCAGTCACATAACCTAGAAAAACATGTCAAAATTAAAATTATGTAAAATAATCAGCAGAAAATCAAAGGTGTGAGTCAAATATTGCATAAATTCCAACACTTTCACTTCCTTAAACTTCTACTGATCTGTACACCACTTCTGACCACACTATCTCCCCCTTGGGCAATCCTGGCGGCCTTCTCGGTGTCACTTTGGCGGTGGAGAAAAAAAGGACGGACTG